CGCGAGAAGCGGCCTGCAGCGCGTTGCCGTAGTGCCCGCCCTGCGCGTTGACGTCGGCGCCGCGCTCCAGCAGCTACTGCAAGATCTCGGCGTGTCCTCCGCGAGACGCGGCCTGCAGCGCGTTGCCGAAGTACCCGCCCTGCGCGTTGACGTCGGCGCCGCGCTCCAGCAGCTGCTGCACGATCTCGGCGTGTCCTTCGCGAGAAGCGGCCTGCAGCGCGTTGCCGTAGTGCCCGCCCTGCGCGTTGACGTCGGCGCCGCGCTCGAGCAGCTGCCGCACGATTTGGGCGTTTCCTCTAAAAGAAGCGGCCTGCAGCGCGTTGCCGTAGTGCCCGCCCTGCGCGTTGACGTCGGCGCCGCGTTCGAGCAGCTGCCGCACGATCTCGGCGTTTCCTCCGTGAGAAGCGGCTTGCAGCGCGTTGCCGGAGTACCCGCCCTGCGCGTTGACATCGGCGCCGCGTTCGAGCAGCTGCCGCACGATCTCGGGGTGTCCTCCGCGAGAAGCGGCCTGCAGCGCGTTGCCGAAGTGCCCGCCCTGCGCATTGACGTCGGCGCCGCGCTCGAGCAGCTGCCGCACGATTTGGGCGTTTCCTCTAAAAGAAGCGGCCTGTAGCGCGTTGCCCTCCTCCCCGCCCTGCGCGTTGACGTCGGCGCCCCCTTCTGCTAGAACAACGGTGACCAGCTTTTGATGACCAAGAAACGACAATATATAGAGGAGCCCTGCATCCATATCACGGCTCAGGTATGAATGCTCGCCGTATGTGTCGACGGTCGAGAGGAATGTCTTCCACCATCGCAACCAGTGATTCCCCATTTGCAGCCATCGTACAATCTCCTCTCGCATTGCCCCCCCGGACAGCGTATGCTCTGCATGATTGAATACGTAGCTCGCTGCATACAGCAGAAACGGATAGTTGTCGCTCAACTGCCTCATCTGCTGGTCGCTTGTTGATGTGGTGTCTACTCGCTTGATCTCGGACCAGCAGCGATCCCACAGCCGCCCGTGGCTGGAACTGATCGGGTCGGGATGGAGCGTCGGATCCAGCGCCTGCAGCCTCTGGTTCCGAAATAGGAAGTCGTTGACCGACAGGTGAATGAACTGCACTGACGCCGTATCTCCTGTTCGCGTCTCAATGAGGCCCTTGGACGAGGCGGTGATGCGCCGTTGCATGGTATGGCTGGTGATCTTTGATCGGTCCCACGGCCCAGTGTACTCCGGAGCCGTTCCCGCCAGCACGGCGAAGAACAGCTCTTCGGGCTTCAGCGGCCGCCGACTGAGCAGCACCCATTGGAGCATGCGTATCGTCTCGGCCTTATTCCGATCGTCTTTGCTCAAGAGCTTGTTGAACACCTCCTCGAGATCGGCCGGCACCTCCTCCAGTGCTTCGCGCATGGCTTCCAAACGGCCGTCGTCGTAGGCTGTGTTAAGCAGAGACACCACAATGACGACCCACATGAAAATGCCGCCTGCCTTTTCCCGGACCTTGGCCTTGATCTCGTCATCGTGTCCTTCTAATTTCTCTTCGATATATGTTGCGATGTCGCTTCCATGCTCTTCGCTCGTCTCGACGGTCAACTCCAACCTCTTCCTCATACTGATGTTGGGATAATGGCGGCTGGAGAGGCAGATCCTCAGCGTGACACCGGCGTGGACGGCATCGATGCTTAAGGTCTCAAGAAAGCCGACAACATCTCGCACATCTCGCTCGTCGCACTCGTCGAGCGCGTCGACGAGGAGGAGGAGGGGCTGCGATCGCCGCTGTTTGACTACCCAGCGTATGAAATTTTTCAGTTGTGCTTGTGGCCACACCCACTCCCCTTCCTTATCATATATTTTCTGCTTCTCGTAGATGGGGTGGAATTGTTCGTACAGCGTGTCGTCCTTCTCGAGCAGCTGGTATACGATTGACCGCAGCATGCCCAGAGGCGTCTTCTCGAGAACCTCGCCTCGAGCGTTGAAGAAATACGCCACGATCAGGTGGTCGCCGAAGACCTCCTCGCAATGGTGCAGAGCATGCTTCATCAGCGTCGACTTGCCCGCGCCCGGCTTGCCCTTGATCCAGAGCACGCCATTGTGGGCTGGTAGGTCGGCGCGGTCGCGCCACTTCTGGAACTGGGTGGTGCTGAACAGCCAGTCGCATGTGCCTTGGTAGGCAGCGGCTATGTCGTGTAGCCGAGCATCGATGTCGCGGAAGCCGAGAGAGCAGAGGCAGGCTGTGCTTGTCAGTCGTCTGGTATTGTGACCACTTCTTTGGCAAAGGAGGTCCAGATATGATAGAAGTATACGATGGAGGTCGCGAGGCAGTACGAACCTTCTTTTTCCGAATCACGCCTAGAGTTATTCGACAGCGGTACGCCCTGCAGCCTCCCGTTGGGGCCATAATCTAGCACGCATCAGATAAGTGAAGGCCAGAAAAAATAGAAAACAAATTAATCGCAGCTCGATAGTCGGAAGTCTACGTACACTTCGCCCGGGTAGAGACTAGTTGCGTGCTCTCCTCGACCATCGTCTGGACAACCGATCCAAGGAGCCGGAATCCCTGTTCCTGTGGGCTACCGAACTTCTGGATGTTGAAATGGGTACGAGACAGTGCGTATTTGTCCGACTTCTCGCTCAAATCGAGGCTGCCCGAGGTCTCGTTAACAAGGATGACCGGTGGGGTGGCCTGGTGGGTCCGTTATGTTAGCAGCGTTCTGACACATACGCATACGAAGTGGCATCTACTGCATACATTCTCGAGATCCCTTCCGAGGATACCGCCAACCTTGCTCGCCCCTTGTTCGTAGAAGCATGCTACCCGGGGCATCGCGCTCTGTCGGGCGATGCGGAGATACATATCCACCACGTCGGTCAGCGATTCTCCTCCTGCCCGAAGTATTTCTAGATTCTCCCCGTACACAGGACTTCCTGTGAAGAGTTCCTGGGCGCGCCGGAGAATCTCCCCCTGCGAAAGCGAGTCGTGAGTGCCCCGGAAGGGCGTGCCCAGGAAGACCAGGCCCACCGTCGAGTCGTAGATGCCCGGCCATCGCTTCCGCTCCGTATAAGCGTCCACGAGCGTCTGAGAAATGTCAGCCCCGTGTGCCATAGCGGTGTCCAGAGCACGTGCCTTGAGGAGAATGAGGCCACCAAAGCTGTGTCCGATGAGAATAAGCGGTCGACCCTGGTCCGTCTGGAAGCTTCACATCTTAGCACAAGCTCAACATAGCGCAGCCAGTCAGTACCGTATTCCGCACACAGGGACTGACCTTCCTACAATCCTTCAACTCAAACAGAAATGTCTGGCTAATATCGGACATCTTTGTCCTCACAGCGTCTTCTCCAAACCATCGCGAATTATAGCCGTATCGCATGATGCGAGCGCCAGGTGCTACAGCAGGCAGAAAGCGCCGGTCTTCCAGCCAGTTAACGTAAACCGGACTACCATCGCCGTCGATCTTCTTCGTGCACCACGTATCGTCGGGATGGGCGCCCATCCCATGCACGGCGACGATGCTAGCGCTCGTTAGAAGCCGGAATCTTTGGAGTCAGTGGCATGGACGACTTACTCTACCGGACCACCGGCTCCGGACTGCGAAATGCCGCCTGTCCCATCATACAGTACCCGGAGTCCCAGATCCTCGTCGGTGATTGATCGCACCTAGTCTTCAGTCAGGAGTTGCGCGGAGCCGATTTGTATGGGACTGACCATTCTGGATGCTTGCACCGTCCCCCTTCGGTGCGTATGGAGGGTGTTGGCTGGGGAACCCACTTTGGAAGAAATGATGCGTCGGAGACATTGGGACCAGTTTTGAACCCGCCCAGTGCTGGAGAGGTCGAGGGGAGGAGGCAGGCCCCGTAACTGCACTTTTCGTCGCCACCAACCAGCAGAGGGCACCTGCGGCACAGAGTAGCACCGGCGATGCAGTTTCTGCCTGACCGGTGCAATTGGGCAATAATGCAAGGATAGGCTGCTGCATGCAGGTTGTCACTCGCCGTATCGAAGACTGCCCCGCACCAGGCTTTGAGGAAGGCATACACGGCCGATCTTGTTAAGTCTCCCATCCGCACTTCCAATTCTCTCGAACGAGGATAGATGCTAGCGGGACAATCACAGAGATGGGATCTTCGCCTCCATTTCCGAAGGAACAGCAATTGTGCACCTACTTCGATCGCGAGATCGATGCTGGAGCCAGTGCAGGTGCCGAAGATGAGAAACAGCAAGTCGACAACCTGCCCGGCTGGCCTTGCGTCTCGCTAAGCGACCGTGCCTCTGTGGAAGAATTGCTCTACAGAGAACTCTACGCCTCCGACCTGGAAACGGTTGCGCCGCGCCTCTGGATCATGTCGACACAGTCCAGCGCAAACGTCGAACCGCTCCATCAACAAAGAATAAAAGGACGAGAGATACTAATCACGGAGAGCCCTCGTCTGCACCTAGTATGGATCCACAATCGGATATTCGTCAAGCCGATTCCCAAGTACCTGCTGTCGCACCGTTTTTGGGAGCAATTTCTACTGTGCAAGCCGGCTGCACGCGGTTCACGGCACGACCTTGTCCAAAGAGCCGCAACCGGATATCTCCGCTCTTACCGTTATTTGATCCAGCATGAATCCGACTTCGATATTGGGAAGCAGGTGCGACTCATTCCTCAGAATTTCGAGTGGCCGGAGTTTTGCCGTTTCATCATGAATTTCAGTCGAGTCGGAGATATGGACGTGTCGTCTCGGTATCATTACGGCGAGCTCAGGCTGTCGCGGCTTAATCTCTATGCGCCTTTCCTTTTCGGCAAGTTCAATTTTCAGAAGCCGCATTGGCAGTACAGCGACTATTTCGCCAGGTTCTACGGTCCTATGCTGTTTATCTTTGCCGTGGCGTCGACGGTCCTCAGTTCGATGCAGCTTGAGATGGCGGTTGAGCAGGTGTCCGTGACGCAGGGAGTAGTCCTTTGGTCCATTTGCCGGTGGACAAGCACGGTCATTCTGGTGGGCACTACTCTGATAGCTCTTGGGTTTTGGTTGCTCTGGGTCTGGCTGCTTTGTGATGAGTGGGTGTATGCACTTAGGTGCCGGGCAAAGAAAAGGCGGGAGATGTTGGATCACTCGAGCCGCCCAAGAGATGTTCCGGCGGTCTAAGGAATACTGACAGAACCAAGGATCGAATGGGAAGTTACTAGATCTACGCAACCCTCAATCATCACCCAGGTCGTTCTTCCCAGTGACCGGCTGTGCTCATCGTGAAGCAACGCTGGGTCTCGGTAGTGTCAAACACCCGCTGTATGTATCCTTCAGAGAGCGCCCTTTGCTTGATACGCGCTTTATCTTGTGGGGGTAGGTGGAGCGGAGGTCGGCGGGGCAGCTATCTTCGGGGCCAGATTCGCTCAAAAATGCCGTTTCTGCTGCTTTGCTCTGTTTGCAACAAGACTTGTTATGTGACCGCCTTCGAGTTCCCTCAGGGCTCCTTCCCTGTTTTCTCCCGGCTCGTCCTCTTCCGCTTCGGGATCCATGATGGCGGTCCCGGTTCGTCGGGGCTGGCGTCGTGGAACGCCTAGATCGCATCGTCACGGCCCCTGAGGTCCGTTGCCGGTTGCCATGTCGGCTCCTCGAAACCTTCCCACTTGACCAAGTACTGCCAGCGCCCGTTGTCGGCTTTCCCGCAGTCGAGGATCGTCTCAAATCGCCGCTCGACTGCGTCACCGCCATCATCCTCGCGCGTGATGACCCGGCCGCGGTTTGCTCGGACGTCTTGTTGGCTCATCTCCTACTAGAAGCATCATCGCTCGGAATTGGGTGCAGTTCCATTATTCGCCCCACTTAACCAGCCCCTACGGTTCCTTTTTGCCATTGGCCGCACCCATGTAGAGCTCTGCCTCCCGGACCCACTAAGCCCCACCGAACAGGCCTTCCACGTGCGCGCTTCTCCCAAACAGGCATCTCTTGGCGCCTGGGGTGGTAGAGTTCCGTCCAGGGTGTTGGAGCTTTCCCAGGGGTAGAGTTCCGCCCTGCCATTGGCCGAGCCCAAGAGATGCCCGGGGGGTAGGGTTCGATTGCCCGGGGGTACGGTTCCGGGGGTACGGTTCCAGGGGGGTTGAGGGAGATGCGAAGCGCGTTCTCGCGACTCCATTTTTAAAAAGGCGAAAGAGGTTCGGACGGACAGCAGATAAGAGCGACGGCCCCCAGAGAGAGACCACCACAGTTATCCGCGATGGAGCCCTTCGTCCACCTGCCACAGCACCGAGTCGTAATCTGCAAGCGCTGCCGATTCGCCTGTGTGGCCAACGAGGTACCAGCCCACTTGCGGACACGACACGCCGATGTGCCCGTCGCCGAGCGACACGCTACCGCCCGCGCGGTCCAGCAGCTGCCCGACATCATCCGGACGCAGGAGGACCTCGCCGGCTTCGAATTCCCTCCACCGACGGCCGAGGCGATCCTATTCCTCGGCCCTCCCCGGCCGGACGGGCTCAAGTGCCGCGTATGCCCGTATGTCGTCTGCCATCCGAAGAAGATCCAGGAGCACGCCCGGAAAGTGCACGGCTGGCATAACCCGCAGAGGAGCGGCAGGCCGTCGGCCGGTTCCGGTCCGCCATCGCCGTACGACGAGGAGCTTCCGTGGATCAATGGCGTGCTATGCCAGCATCTTTTCCCCTCACGGGCTGACTAGCGGCTGGTTCGAGGTCTGCCGGGAGGACCGAACCGTCCGTGGCCTGCTGCGGGTTCTGCTACCGAAACCGATCGTGCTGACTCGGTCACCGCAAGGGAGCAGGAAAGCCGCCGGAGCGGGAAACAAGAAGCAACCACTCCTACTACCCGTCAGTTTAGAGACCCAGGCCCCCCCCGACACGGTCCGAGAGGCCGTGGGCGGCTGCCACCCGTCAGTCCGGATACCCAGGTACACTTGTATACGATCCTGGCCCGCGAGAAGAGAATCGTTGCCTTGGGGAGCCAGCCGCGGGTATACGGCCGAGACACGGGAGGTGGCGACATATTCGCTGCGTCAACTCCGTGGATGGACCGGATGCAGTGGCCGGCGACGTACAAGGGCTTGCGGCGTGACATCTTGTTCGCGCTGGCCGAGCTGCCGGACCGCCGCGACTTGGGTCCATGACAGAGGGGCGGCCGAGGCGTTCAGCATCTTTGGTATATTGATATGGCTTTTTGGCTTGGTCACTATGCCTCTATGGCTGTTTGGCAAACGGATGAGAATTGCAACCAGGGAGAAGTTGGTCCGCCAGGGTAAGACAAGTCACCCAAGCTGTCTGAAAGAAATGGAATGCCTGTGCCGCTTCTTATCGAATATTTCCCTCGGCCGTATTCGTACTGAAATTGAGGATTCCGGTATAACGGTCTCACTTCCCACCAAGCGCCCCAGCCCCTTTTCCCAGACGATACTGATCCTCAACCATCTTGGTATACCCCGGCACACCCCCAATCGTCCCATCAGCATTCGTCGTTGACCCAGGCGCGCACTTCTTCCCGCCCCAAGTAACCCCCGCCACAGCCTTCCAGACATCGGTCATATTCCTCGCCATATCCCAGGTATAAAACAGCCTGCAGTTGGCCGCCTCATACCGAAACTGCAACGGCACCTCGCCCTGTCCCAATTCCGACGCGTTCCCCTTGTACGGCAGCAAATCATTCACATTGAACGTCACAGTCATAGCCCATAAATCGTCGAGCTCGGTGGCCTGAGACCCTCCGAGTCTGAGCGGCGGCCTATACGTGAACCTGTCGGGCGGCAGTCTCAAACCCTCGGGCACCTGCGAACGGTCAAAGTCGGGCATCGACATAAAGTACATGGAGGGCCCTCCCTTGGTTTGACCGACGGCCTGCATTGGCGCGCGCAGCGGACGGCCACCGAGGGCGACGGTGCGCACGCCGTGGGCATAGGCCAGGATCGAAACTACGATAGCGCAGGCCGAGCCGCACTGCCCGTCCGTGACGATGATGATGTCCTCGGGGCGGAACGGTGCCGTAGTCCATGGCTGCTGGTACTGCCACCCGTCTGGGAGGGGCCATTGATCAGTCAAGGATCGGAGGACGGACGTGTTGGAAAGTCGTGGCACTGGAATTTCGGACGCTCAGCTGCAAGTGCCCTGCTGTTGGATGCATGGCTGCCCAACTGAGCGTCAGGCAACGTGAGGGGTAACCAGGGCGCTGGGCAACGAGGTCAGGGCGATTCCCCCTTCGCTGGAGATGTGAGAGAAAAACAACCTTCAATCAAGAACATCTGGGATGCTCCGAGTATCTCAAACCCACTGTTGTAAGCTCCCATCATCTGTGTGATCATCGTGGAATCGTGGCTGTTGGTCTTCCAACAGGACGTTGTGTTTTCAATTGCCGGGTGGGTGTGCTGGCCCCATCGTTTTTGGCCGGCCGGGGCATCCGGGAAGGGCCCGTACAGCTCTTCAAATGAGGACCAGGGCTTGCCGTCGGGCCTCATCATGTTGTACACCGGCCATTGGCCTATAGATGACGTGGGATCCCAGGCCTGCTTGCCGAGCCAGGCAAACTGGGGGTGGGCGCGGGCCTGCCAGAGGACGGGCAGGGTATCGCCGGGGAAGAGGGCAAAGTAGAGGGCCATGATGTTGGAGGTGAGGCCGCCGCCGTTGCCCTGGAAGTCAAGGACGAGCTTGGTCCGGTTGGCCGCTTTAGCAGCGCTGATGGAGTCAACTACGACTTGGTAGAAGTCTCTCTGTTGAACGCTCATGGACCGATCGACGTGGTCCAGGTTAGGCGCTTCATTGAAGCTATTCAAAGCGAGCACGGCTATGTCCGAGAACTCGGAGCTCTCTGGCAGAAAGCCTGCTACGTGCCTGGTAGACTTGAAGGGTTTGGGATAACCTACGAAGGCGGCTATGTAGTTTCGCTCTGCCAGTTGGTAGAACCTGGCGTTGAGAGGCCGCTCGTCGGTCGAGTCGCCACGGCCATAAACATCGTACAGATCGGCGCCCGAGGCGATCTTGGTGAAGTTTGCGCGGAGTCGGGCGGCATTGCTGAATTCAAATCTGGTACCATTTTGGCACGTGACCTTGGTTGTATCGCCGAGGATCAGTGCGAACGGTTCGGGTGAGGCATAAGCTAGATTTGTGTCAGTGGCGAGGCTTCGAAACATGCCGTTAAACCGAGCGTCGGGATCGTGAGACAAGACGATATTGACGGATGCTTTTTGTAGAAACTCCAGTGCTGGGACGCCATCGATGGTTAACACTGGGGAAGGCGTATACCCGTTCTGGGCGTGTTTGACGTCGTCTACACAAGGATGGCCACACGGAATTCTTCGAGTTCGCTGCCTCCATCCCGAATTTCCCCCTGTCCGGCCCCCTGGCCCCCGGTCAAATCTCGACACGCTACCACGCGCTACGGCCCGATTCGTCCTCGACGTACTCCCAATGCAGTCCATGCTCTCTCGACGTTGTCATTGGTTGGCCATATTTTGGCGCGCTCAGCTATCGTCGAGACGCGTTCCTGCCCCCGACTGCCTCGGTCTTTCCCACCCAAAGAACAGAAAGAAACTGGGTAACTACTCAGTGCCTCGGTCGCGGCCCCCCCGGTCAAGACGTCAGGATATATACCGTCCGCCGCGGCAGCTTAACCTGTTTCTTTCTCCTTATTGTATTCCATCTGTCTGTGATGTATGATGGGTGATCATCCAGCGTCGTCCCTGCCGCCGCGCTGGTGTCGTTGGCCTCAGCGGGAACTCGACCTCCGTCTGGCGGAACTAGGCCTGGTCATCAATGCGCCCGAGCCCGCCGTGATCTGCCGCCCGTGCGGCTATGCCTTGCAGCCAAACGGCGAATGCGTGACACGGCATCTCGCCGACAAGCACAGCATCCAGAAGCGGTTGCGACACGGCTTAACCGCGTACATCCACTCCCTACGTCTTCCGGATCCGAATACACTGCCCCTCCGACCCGATTGGTCACCGGCCCACCTGAACCTAGCACCCCGTACGGGCGTCGCCTGCCGGCATTGCAGCTATCGGACGACCAGTGTCGATCTTGTTACGCGGCACCTGGCGAAAGCCCACAACCGCCGCCGCCCCCAGAGGCAGAAGGGCTGGCTGCGCGACGAAATCTTCCAGGGCGTCGTCCTACAAAGTTGGACGCAAATCGGCGCCCGCGGGTATTGGATTGCTACCCAGGGCCCGTCCGTGTGCGAACGACCAGAAGCCGCTTCCGCCTGGCTGCGGGACCAGGCCACACCCGAGCAGAGGGCGGCCATTGATCAGCTTAACCAAGCCGAACGGGACCGCATGGCCGCCGACTCGGCTGCGGCCCAGCAGACCGATGGCACTAGCACCCCTGATCTGGCCCTTCACACGAATTGGATGCGGCGGACTGGCTGGCTGAGAACCTTCGACGGAGCGAGCCGCGACGTTCTCGTCAGGCTCGCCCTACCGCCGTGCCCAGAAGGCGACGGCCTGCGCCTCAGTGCGCCCGGAAGCCAGGTACAGATCTGGAGCGCCCGCGAGGACGAAGAGCGGTTGAACCGGATCGCGTCAGCGTTGCGCGGGCTCCAGGGCCGCTGTGAGGACACGGCGCGGCACACAGACCTGTCGATCCGGTTTTGGCTTCGCAGCTCCGACCCGACGCGTCCACACAGAGCCCCGTTTGAGATCGTGGCCCGCCAGACTACGGCCCAGGCCTACTGGCGGCTCTTCTTGAGATTCCTATGCTTCTCGTTCCGGCTTTGGCGTCTGCCAGAGGTCGCTCGAGCCTCCCTATGCCGAAGATCGTTGACGGAGACTCAGCATATTGCCTTGCGCGCGGCTTGGTCCGCGCTCGGGGAGGAATCCCGAACGCGAAATGAACGGGGCGCCGAGTACATAAGCGCGGCAGTGGACGAGTCGAACGCGGCGCAGTCTGGTAGTTGGAGCGACGACGACGGCCGCGATGACACTGACGATTCGGGTATCGGGACCGAGGCAGACGACACTCGAATCCCCCCACGGGTTTCTGTTTCGCGGTGCATCGGTCGAAATCCCGTTGCCGACGACAACGGCGACGACGACGACCTGGGTGGGTCCGACGACGATGAGAATGACGCAACCGACCAGATTGAGTCTGACTCCGACTATGGAGAAAGCGAGCATGCAGCGTCTAGCATGGAGGACGAGTCTGGCACCGCGTCAGATCCATACTACCAAGACATCCTATTGCGGCTCGCTGGGTTCTTGGTTACCGAGCCGTTTCGAGGCGGCCAGGCTTCCTCTACCCTGCTCGTCTACTTCAGCGGCGTCATAGGGCTCAGCGCAGACGGATCTACCTATATGAGACCCTTACAGTACACGCCAAAACTCTCTGCGTTGATCTATTGCGCCCGCCTAATCCTCTTGGAGACAGTTCTTCCGCGGTTCTCCCACGATCATATTCGAATACCAGCCCGACCAGACCGGCATCAAGTCGAGCGACTGAATAAGGTCCGGCTGAAAGCATTCTGCATGGGTTGCCAGGCCCCCGTTAGCGAGCTGCTCAGTCTTCGATGCTATGGCCGTAAGCTAGCGCGGACGGATGGGCCCGTCTTCCGTTTTCAATGGAGCGATGACGGCCAGGTCTTGTCGTGGGAGGAAGGCCGTATCTCGATGCAGCAGTTTCGAGCTCTCTCGCATGATTTGCTTCAATCCGTCACCTCATCGACACGCCGCCTGATGTACGACTTAGCGCCACGGTTCGATCTCCGTACCGTCCGAGATAGGATGTCTACGGTTGCAAAAGGCTACTCATTTGTCACCGAACCAGCGAATCGCCTACAAGATGCCTTCTTAGCTCTGTCTGAGCGTGCCTGCCTCTCCCGCCTGGATGGGCTTATCGGTAGGAACGGCTGGGACCAACAGGCCGTCCGTCGCTACATGGCCCTGCATGATCAGATGCTGGCGGACCTGTTGGCCCTTATCCATCTCACCGCCGGGCAGGCCCCTCGGGGAACAGAGCTGTTGTCCATTGAACATTGCAACGGTGCTTCGACCAGTCGGGGTGTATATGTCCATGACGGATCCTTCGTTCTCGTCACCAGGCACATGAAGGCCCGTACAATCACCAACAACGAGTTCCAGGTTGCCCGCGTGCTGCCGGATGAGGTTGGCCGTCTTCTTTACCAGTACCTTGTGTATATTCGGCCGTTCACATATATGCTGCAGCGGCGCTGCTGCGGAATCGATACTGACTCTTCGTTGCTGTTCTGCTCCCCGCAGAGACCCGACAGGTTGTGGAAGACAGCGGTCCTATCAGGGGCGCTACAGCGGCTCACCAAATTGACCGCCGGGCAAGCCTTTGGTGCACGAATATATCGGCAGGTCTCTATTGCTGTAACGGAAAAGCATGTTCGGCAGATCAAGAACCCGTTTGACCGTTTTGACGATCGAGCGGCGAATGCGGACATCAGCTTGGCGTTCGCCTGGCAGAGCGGCCATCGGCCTATGCAAAGAGCTTGCACATACGGGCTGGATGGAGCCTTCCCTGACAGCCTGCAACCAGCTCTTCTACGAGTTTACCAGTGGGTGTCCTCGGAATGGCATCGATTTCTGCAGCTCGCACCGCCACAACCGATGTCCTCACCCGAAACAACTCAACGTCCAGCTTTTGCGCAGCCCGGCAACGTTAGCTTCCGTGAGCCAGCATCTGCCACGCAGTTTGATCGGATCGCACAGCCTCCTCAGACGGAACCAACCAGCCAGGAACTACCGGTTCGCAATTTCCTAGGCGACCCGTCCGACAAGAGAGCGCCTGATGCGCTTCTTGCCTCTGAGCAGCCGAGGAAGCGACGCTTGGAGGAAGGAGAAGAGCCTCCAGCGCTAAAACGAAGCGGTCGTGCAACGGATGTCAGCCAGCGACGGTTCATTGATAACACGTCGAAAAACCCATCCAAATATCACCCACAAACGAACATGGACATCACGCCATTCGTTCGTTTACCTCAATACCCATTCGTCATCTGCAAGACGTGCCAGTTTGCGTGCGTAGCAGGCGAGGTTGCCACCCATCTGCGCACGAAGCACATTTGTATACGCGCAAGCGAACGAAGCGGGATCGTCAAGTACGTTAGCAGTATTCCAGGCATTGCCCAGCGCCAGGACGAGTTACGGTCGTTCCAACTCCCGCCACCGACAGTCTCGCCAATCCCGTTTATTGCGCCGCCAAAAGCGGACGGCGTGAGATGTGACAAGTGTGGATTTGTCGTGCGGACAGTAGGCGGCATGCGACGGCATTGCCGGAATGAGCATGGGTGGGTGAGCAGTTGGATAAGGGGCGGCAATGTGGCACAGAGGGCGAAGGAGGAGAGGCCGGTGCCGTGGACCACGGGCGTGCGGTGCCAGCGTTTTTTCCCTTCGCGCGCTGCCAGCGGGTGGTTCGAGGTCGGCCGGGGCAGCGCCGAGGAACACAGCCGATAGAGGAATTGTTGACGACATTTTAGAGCTAGACGTAGGCGAGGTTAGAGTTAGTGTACACTTACAACAGCTACATCAAACAGAGAGGCATTGGAGAACGGCAAGGGCTACAAATTCCCAGTTTCGACGCACCGGGAATAAGTCCCAAGTTGGGCGTGGGAGTTGATGGGGTGTAGGAGGTTGCTAAGCTAAGGCGAAGAACAGACATCCACAGCGGCCAAACCACCATGGACATCTCGCCGTTCGTTCGTTTACCCGAATATCCATTTGTCATATGCAAGGAGTGCCGGTTCGCATGTATCGCAGACGAGGTCGCCAGTCATTTGAATCGGCACCATCGTCCGATAGGATCCAAGGAGCGGACCGAGATCGGTAGGGCGGTGAGAGAGATACCCGGAATCATTCACAATCAGGCACAGTTACGCAGGTTCGTGTACCCGCCGCCCACGACTGAAGCCATCCCATTCATCGCACCGCCGCAAGCGGACGGACTCCGATGCGATACATGCAGTTACATCGCCCGAACCCCCCAGCGGATCCAGGCGCATTGCCGGGAGAGGCACGGATGGCGGAACGATTGGCAGCGGGGCGGAAACGTGGCGAAGAGGGCGAAGCAGGAGCGCAGGTTGCCGTGGACGGCCGGCATCCGCTGCCAGCGTTTTTTCCCGTCGCGCGCGGGCAGCGGGTGGTTCGAGGTCGGTCGGGGCAGCGCCGGGGAAGCGGCAAGCAACGGGGAGGGCGAGACGTTGGACCAGCGGTTGGAACGGATGCACGGAGCGCAGGTCGCGCGTTTCCAGGCGAGGAGGCGGGGCATCGAGGACGGGAACGACAAGGCGGAGCCCAACCGGTGGTTGCAGCGGGTGGGTTGGGCCGGGCATTTGGCGGGTTTGGACCGCGGCCGGTTGGGCGGTTCAGTCGAGGCGATCGGGCCGGACGAGGCGGTGTTACGGGGGATGTGGGAGAGCGTGGAGCGGGTGGCGGAGAGGGCGCGGGCGGCGGTGTTGAAGCGCGGCGGGCACGCCGTGTTGTTCGAGATCAACAAGAAGGAGGTGCACATCAAGCCGAGCAAGCCGTTCGAGGGCCGGATGGAGGACGACACGTGGGCCCGTTACAAGGAGGTGTATCGGAAGTTGTTATGTTTCATCCACCGTACGCAGGATTGGGACGACGACGACCGGCCGCCGTATGAGTTCACCGAGAAGCAGGGCGATTTGTTTGACGCATTCGCGGATGCGGTGAGCGAGCATGTCCAAGGCGAGGACATAGGCGGGATCAGCAAGGCGGAACGGCAAGCACGAGAGGACCGGGTAGACCGGTTGTGTTTGGACGCGATCGTGGCATTTTTCGACCACCAGTACAGGGACTCGCCGTACGAGAGCGCGCTGCTCAGCGGGTTGGCGGTGTTGGGGATCCGTGAGGACGGCGGATGGGTCGGGCCGGGTGATTACACGCCCAAGTATTCGGCCGTCATCAAGATCGCGCGTATACTAGTGGTGTACCAATCCGTGGTAGAACGTGAAGACGAGGTGCGGGTGTTGCAGAGGAGGATGAGCCGGCAAGCGGCGGAAGAGGCAGCCACCGGATTGTTCACGATCGTGCGGGCCAAGGTGGAGCGGTTCATGACGGTCGTTTCGGAGAGGTCGGAGCCGGGGGTGATAGATTGGATATTCGACGTGCGCACGTACGGGATGCGGATCCAGTTCACGACGCCGAGCCGCGGGGTGGTCGATTGGACAGGGGACAGGGTGACGTACCGGCGGGTGCGGATCGGGATGAACGAGTTGGGCGACATGATGCACGAGTTGACACGGGAGATGAAGACGGCGTTGGGCGAGTTGTTGATGGTCGGGGACGAGGGTTTCGGGGCGGTGCCGGCGATCGAGTGGGCGCGGTTCGAGGACGACCATAGCGACGAGACGGTGGATTATTCGTTTTTACACGACGACCGTAACACGTGGTTGGCGAGGGGGAACGGTTGGGTGCGACGGCAGATCGTCGGGCGGGCGGACAAGCGGGCCGAGTGGATCGCGAGCGACGGCGGCAGGGTGCCGTACCGGGGCGAGGCGGTGCGCAAGTACGGAGGGGCGGTGGAGCGGTTCCGGGAGGGGATGTTGGTGTTGATGCACATGTTGGGCGGGATGCCGGCGCGGTCGTGGGAGGTGTTGGAGATCCGGCACACGAACACGGAGAACGGGGGGTTCCGGAATATATTCGTGGACCGGGGGATGGTGTGTTTTATGACGTTGTACCACAAGGGGTACCGCACGACAGGCGAGGTCAAGGTGATATACCGGTACGTGCCGCGCGAGGTGGGCGAGTTGTTGGTGTGGTATTTGTGGTTGGCGTTGCCGTTTTGGCAGCAGGTGCAGGGGATGGTCAAGGGTGCGGACATGCCCAGCGCATTTTTGTGGGCAGACGAGATCGTCAGGCGAAAGGACGTCAGGCGAGAGGACGGGGCGGGTGAGGGCGAAGGAGAGGGAGACGGGGCAGGGGAGGATAGGGCAGGGGAGGATAGGGCAGGGGAGGATAGGGCAGGGGACGACGGTTTGCAGGCGGCGTCGATCCGAGAACGGAAGTGGACGGCCGATCGGATGCGGCGGGTGATGCAGCAGCACAGCGGGAGGTTGTTGGGCAAGCGGGTCGGGTTGAGCGCGTGGAGGCACGTTGCGATCGCGATTTCGAACCGGTATTTGAACAAGGCGTTTGGGGAGGACGTCGGCGAAGACGGCGAGTTTGACGAGGACGACGAGGGCACGTTGGACAGCATATGGGATTTGCAGGCCGCACACAGCACACACGTGGCCGGGTTGGTATACGCGCGGGAGTTGCAGCAGGGGGCGTCGGGCACGGCGGCGCGGCGCGACCGGTTCCGGGGGGCCAGCCGGGCGTGGCACCGGTTTTTCGGGTTGGGGGCGGAGGACCGGGCGGCGGCCGGGGCGGCGGCCGTGGGGCGCAAGCGGAAGGCGGACGCGTTCGACAGCATGCGGGAGGAGGCGCGGTTCCGGCGGTTCGCGCGGTTGCAACAGGTGGACGTCCAGGGGCGGTTGAAAGTCATGATGGGGCCCGAGGCGCGGTTCCGAGGGAGGCAAGAGGAAGTTATCCGGGCGGTGGTCCGCGGGGAGAGCCCGGTGGTGCAGGTGGCGGGCACGGGGGAGGGCAAGAGCATGTCGTTCATATTGCCGGCGTTTTGTTCGCCAGACGGGGTCACGTTGGTGGTGGTGCCGTTGGTGGCGTTGCGAGACGATTTATACGGCCGGTGCCAGCGGATGGGGATCGACACACACGTTTGGCACGGGCAAGGCGCGAACCGGGCGGCGGCGATCGTATTCGTGACGCCCGAGTCGGCGGTGACGGAGGGATTCCGGTCGTTCGTCAACCGGTTGCAGGCGCGAGGGCAGTTGGACCGGGTTTTTGTGGACGAGTGCCACACGGTATTAGACAGCGACCGAGCGTTCCGGCCGCAGATGGGCCAGTTGGGGACGGCATTGCAGGAGATGGGCGTTCAGGTCGTATTGTTGACGGCGACGTTGGCGCCGGCGGACGTGGGGGAGTTGTATGCCAAGATGCGGTTGGACGCGCGGCAGGTCAGGTTGTTCCGGTCGCGGACGACACGGCGGAACATTGGGTATAGGGTGCGGGTCGTGTCGAGGAGGGATGAGGGGGATAGGGAGGTGAGACGGGTTGTACAGGCCGGGTTAGAACGGTACAGCAGCGGCAAGATCATTGTGTACGGCGGAGAGGTGGAGCGGGTAGAGCGGTTGGGAGAGATGTTGTCGTGCCCAGTATTTCACAGCAAGGTGGACACGGCCGAGGGCAAGGGACGGCGGTGGAGGGAGTGGGTCGAGGCGGGGCGGGTGATTGTGACGACCAACGCGTTAGGGATGGGCATCGACGTGGCGGATGTGCGGATGGTGGTACACGCAGGGCCGCCGCGACGATTGCGGGATTACGCGCAGGAGAGCGGGCGGGCCGGGCGGGACGGCGAGGCGAGCGAGGCGGTGATTGTTTGGCCGAAGGGCGACGACGGGCACGGGGCGAAACGGGGCAAAGCAAAGGAGGGAGAGGCCGAGCGGACGAGATGGATGGAGGAGGCGATGGAGGCGTTTGTAGCGGGGTCGCAGTGCCGGCGGGTGGTCATGGACCGGGTCATGGATGGGTACGAGGGAAGGGAGGGTTGCGAAGAAGGGGAGGCATGGTGTGACGTGTGTCGGCGCGTTGAGGCGGATATCGAGGCAGGGGCAGAGGCGGAGGAAGGAGCCGTGGGAAGGGAAGCGGCAGGAGCCGTGGGAGAAGAAGCGGCAGGCAGGGAGATGCAGGCATTTTTGCAGGCGCGAGGCAAGGCGGCGTACAATGCAGAGCAGGTGTCGATGCGGTCGAGGCGCGAGGGCGAGGAGTTGGCAAGGTTCATCAGGCAGTTGGAGAATTGGGCAGGGTGTTGTGCAGTATGCCGATCGAGCGGAGAGGTGCAGGGGCACAAGATGTCGGAATGTCCGAAGCGTAGGACGGCGGAGTGGAGAATGGTGGACGAGGGCATACGGGTAGTGACAAGGGAGTTGTTTGGGAAAAGGCAGATGGAGAGGTTTTCGGGGTGTTTTTATTGCGGAGTGCCGCAAGCGTTGTGCGAGCGGTGGGAGGAAGCGGAGGACGGGGGACGGTTCCG